GAGACATTGTCTCACTGTGTTGCTCTTGGTAGAGTGCTGTGGTCTCACAGCTTACAGCAACCTCAAACTCTTTGGCATAAGCAGTTCTCTTGCCTCAGCTTCCCAATAGCTGCGACTACAGGCACCTGCCACAAGGCCTTTTTTTTTTTTTTGGTATTGTCATTGTTTAGCAGACCCAGCTGGGTTCTAACTTACCAGCCCCAAGGCATGTGGCCGGTGCCCTAATCACTGAGCTATGGGCACTGAGCCAATAATGGTTTTTTTGTTGTTGTTGAGACAGTTTTACTATGTTGCCCTCAGTAGAGTACTGTGACGTTACAGCTCACAGCAACCTCCAACTCTTGGGCTTAAGAGATTCTCTTGCCTTAGCCTCCCAAGTAGCTGGGACTATAGGTGCCTAACACAATGCCCAGCTATTTTTGTTGTTGTTGTTGTTTTAGATGGCCCAGGTGGGTTCGAACCCGCCAGCCCCCGTGTATGTGTCCGGTGCCTTAACCACTGAGCTATGGGCACTGTGCCTGAATTATCTTATTTTTATGAGTTCTTTGAATATTATAGCTATTGTGATGTGGTGTGAATATTTTTTTTTCATTTTGTTATCTCTCTCTTTTTTTTTTTTTGAGACAGTCTTGCTCTTTTGTCCAGGCTAGAGTACCATGGCCTCAGCCTAGCTCACAGCTACCTCGAATTCTTATGCTCAGTTGCTCCTCTGCTCCTCTTGCCTCAGCCTCTCCAGTAGCTGAGACTACAGGCTGCCACCAGCTGCCACCAGCCTGGCTAATTTTTCTGTTTTTAGTAGAGATGGGTCTTGTTCTTGCTCATGCTGGTCTTGAACTCTTGATCAAGGGATCCTCCTGCTTTAGCCTCCCAGAGTGCCTAGGATTAAAGGCGTGAGCTTCTGTGCCTGGCCTTATATCTTTTCTTTCTTTTTTTTTTTTTTTGTTTTTAGAGACAGAGTCACTTTATCACCCTTAGTAGAGTGCCATGGTGTCACAGCTCACAGCAACCTCCAACTCTTGGCTTAGGCAATTCTCTTGCCTCAGCCTCCTAAGTAGTTGGGACTACAGGCGCCCACCACAATGCCTGGCTATTTTTTGTTGCAGTTCGGCCAGGGCCGGGTTTGAACCCTCCACCCTTGGTATATGGGGCTGACGCTCCTCATCCATTAGCAGTTACTCCCATTTCCCACTTCCTCCAGTCCCTGTCAACCACTTACCTACTTTCTGTCTGTATGGATTTGCCTATTCTGGACATTTTAGTACTCTTTATTATTATTATTTTTTAATTTTTTTTGAGACAGTCTCACTCTGTTGCCCCAGACTAGAGTGCTGTGGCATCAGCCTAGCTCACTTGCAGCTTCAAACTCTTGGGTTCAGGCAATCCTACTACCTCAGCCTCCCGAGTAACTGGGACTACAGTCTCATGCCACCAACGCCTGGCTAATTGTTTCCGTTTTTTAGTAGATAACCGAGTCTCACTCTTGCTCGGGCTGGTCTTGAACTCCTGAGCTCAAGCAGTCCTTTTGCCTTGGCCTTCCAAGAGTGGTGGGACTATAGATGTGAGCCACCATGCCTGGCTTCAATGTGTTCTTTAGTAAAATGTTTAGAGCAATTTGATATAAACGTTCTTTAATAAAGAATTTCATTTTGTTTTATTCTTATGTTTTTTAGAAATAGAGGTCTTTCTCTGTTGCCGGGCTAGAGTACAGTGCCATGATCAGAGCTCACTGCAGCCTTGAACTATGTTCAAGCCTCCCACCTCAGCCTCTTTTTAATAGCTAGGATTACAGGCATGCACCACCACCGAACCAGCTAATTTTTAATTTTTGTCTTTTTAATTTATTTTTTTATTTCAAGTGAATGTGAGGGTACAAACAGCTCACATTTAAATTTGTTAGAGTCCCTCTTGGAGTTGTGTCCCGTACCCAAAAGGTGTGCTTCTACATTGTGCCTCTACATTAAATGGGACTACCCCAGCCCTCCCTTCCCATCCCCCCAACTTGAATTGAAATGACTTTTTCTCCTATGTAGATGTGAATTAGATCATCTGCTGGCTTCATATTAGTATTGAGTAGATTAGATGTTTGCTTTTCCATTCTTGTGATACTTTACAAAGAAGAATGTGTTTCAACTCCCTCTAGGATAATACAAAAGATATTTTTGTATTTTTATGGAAATAGAATCTCACTATTCTATTGCTTAGGCTGGTCTTGAACTCCTGGCCTCGAGTGATTCTCCTGTTTTGACCTCCCAAAGTTTTGCTGGGATTGCAGGTGTGAGCCACCACACCAGCCAAAAATCTCATTTTAAATAGAAAACTATTTATATCTAGTACCTTCTCCCATAGATAGTTTTTTTTTTTTTTTCCCCTGAGACAGAGCCTTAAGATGTCACTCTGGGTAGAGTGCTGTGGCATGACAGCTCACAGCAACCTCCAACTCCTGGGCTCAAGCAGTTCTCCTGCCTCCACCTCCCAAGTAGCTGGGACTACAGGTGCCCACCACAATGCCTGGCTTTTTTTTTTTTGGCTGCAGCCATCATTGTTGCTTGGTGGGCCCAGGCTTCATTCAAACCCACCAGCTCAGGTGCATGTGGCTGGTGCCTTAGCCGCTTGAGCCACAGGTGCCAAGCCCATAGATGGTTTTTAATGAGAGGTTGTTTAAGAATTGGTTTTTGGAAGTTGACATGGATCATTAGATAGGAGAGGGGAAATATACGTAGGGGGCAAAGCATAAATGAGTTGATGAAGTTGAGGTAAGCGCTTGATTTGTTTGAGACTAAGCTCTTTATCTCCATCTTGGTCTAGAAATAAAATATTAATGATAAATATGATCTATTTTTTCTCCATCCAGTCTGTGGCTCCAGCAGCCTTGTTTCTAGCAGCTAAAGTAGAAGAACAGCCAAAAAAATTGGAACATGTCATCAAGGTAGCACATACTTGTCTCCATCCTCAGGAATCACTTCCTGATACTAGGAGTGAGGTAGGAGATTAATTCTATTTTCTCTTATTCTTTTGGTTGTAACTTAAAAGGGCTGTTAAAGGCACCTTTTAATGTTTGCTTTTTCTTTAATAAAAAAAATATAAATTTTGTGGCAAAAGTTAATTCATTGTGGTAAAATTTGAAAATGCAAAAAAAAAACAAAGAAAAAGTATATCACGTGGATATATTTTAGGCCACGAAGCACGGATATATAAGTGAACCACTGGCATTTCTGGCTTCTTTTCTGTAAATAGCTGTGTGTCATGTATTTTATATCTTTCTTCTTTTTCACTTGTATCACAAATATTTGCCCATTGTATTCTCTACTTTTAAAAAATGTCTAAATAGTATTTTATCATACATTTTGTGTGTATATATGTGTGTGTGTGTATATATATATACATATATATATTTTAACCATTCTCTATTAAGAAGTATAGATAATTTTCATCTTTTCACTACTATAGATGTAATGGAGAATTTTCTTTTTTACACATTATGCCTTTATGGGTAATAATTTCTGTCTTCTCACTTTTAGGCTTACCTGCAACAAGTTCAAGATCTGGTGATTTTAGAAAGCATAATTTTGCAGACTTTAGGTAAGTTTATCTGCCCTTAAAACTTCCCTTAATAACTAAAGTTATTTAACACAATGATGTAATTTTAAATTTGCCAAATAGGAAACAGGAGGAAATCCTTTGGGTTATTTTTGAAGAGTATCTGTCCATCTATTTGTGGAGTATAGAGCTTATAGAGCTCAGGTTTAACCTTGGCCTCTACCATAGGGAGAATGTTAGGTATAGCTGACCTTTAAAACACCAGTTAGTTTTTTTTTTTTTAATTCTCACTCTAGGTTTCATGATTTGCTTAAGATTTGTTATTTTTTAACCTCTTAAATAATGGCAGAAACTAAAGAACCATTTTCCTTGCATAGGTTGTTATCTATTTATCACTGTATTTAGATAAAAGCATAGGTATTCAAAATTGGTGACCAGTGTTTAGAACAGGAAAATGGAAGTAGAAGAACTCAGACTATAGTAGTTGCTTAGGAACTCTGATGATGTTCTGTTACTATCTCTTATTTTCTTATAGGCTGCCTTTAACATCTTAGAAAGTATGGAAATAATTTCTTATTCCTTTGGACTGTCATTTTTTTTTCTACACTAGGTATCTTTTAATGTGGAAACCTAGAGTTTCCTAAACCTAATTTTCCTAGTTTCCTAATGTGGAAACCTAAAGTAAGATCTAATTCACAGAAGTCAGCAGTCCTTTAAGAATAATTTGCATCTTATAAATTTATCAATGTAATTTTTTTTTTAAGAGACAGAGTCTCACTTTGTCATCCTCAATAGAGTGCAGTGGCGTCACTGCTCACAGCAACCTTCAGCTCTTGGGCTTAAAGCGATTCTCTTGCCTCAGCTTCCCAAGTAGCTAGGACCACAGGTGCCTGCCACAACGCCCAGCTATTTTTTTGTTGCAATTTGTCTGGGGCTAGGTTTGAACCTCTCTACCCTCCATATATGGGGCCAGCACCCTACTCACTGAGCCATAGATGCCACCCCAGAATTTTTTTTGTTTGTTTGTTTGAAACAGAACCTCAAGCTGTCGCCCTGGGTAGAGTGCGGTGGCATCATAATTCACAGCAACCTCCATTCTCTTGCCTCAGCCTCCCCAGTAGCTGGGACTATAAGCACTCACCACAATGCCCAGCTATTTTTTGGTTGTAATTGTCATTGTTATTTGGCAGGCCTGGGCTGGATTTGAACCCACCAGCTCTGGCATGTGACTGGCACCTTACTTAGCTGCTTGAGCTACAGGTGCCAAGCCCACAGAATTTCTTATATCAGGAAAATTTTAGTTACATACTCGAAAAAGGCAACTTACTCAAGTCAGTTTGTGTAGACACACTGATTCTCCTGAAGTAATTTTGGTAAATACCATTTGAGGTTAAAAAAAATGATGAATGTCTGATGTAACTGAGATGATGAGAGGGAACAAAACTGAGGTAAGAGAGGAATAAGTTTTAAAGTGTTTATTCAGTGCCAGGCGCTGTGGCCCACACCCATAATCCTAGCACTCTGGGAGGTTCGCCTGAGCTCAGGATTTCCAGAGCGAGACCCTGTCTCTATTAAAAATATAAAAATCTAGCCAGGCATTGTGATGGGCACTTGTAGTTCGAGCTACTTGGGAGGCTGAGGCAACAGGATTGCTTGAGCCCAAGAGTTTGAGGTTGCTGTGAGCTGTGACACCATCGTGCTTTATCCAGGGCTACAAAGTGAGACTGTCTCAAAAAATAAAGTATTTTTTCAAGATTAAGCTTTAGAGTGGACACAGTGGCTCAGGCATTTAATCTTGGCACTTTGGGAGGCCCAGGCAAGAGGATCACTTGAGCCCAGGTGTTTGAGAACAGAGAACGTGTCTCTACAAAAAAAAATTAGCTGGCTTAGTGCCCATAGCTCAGCCGTTAGGGCACCAGCCACATGCACCAGGGCTGATGGGTTCGAATCAGGCCTGAGCCTACTAAACAAACAAACAACAACAAAAATAGCCAGGCATTGTGGCAGGCGTCTGTAGTCCCTACTTGGGAGGCTGAAGCAGGAGAATTGCTTAAGCCTTAGAGTTTGAGGTTGCTGTGAGCTGTGATGCCATGGTACTATACTGAGGGCAACATAGTGAGACTCTGTCTTAAAAAAAGAAAAAAGAAAAATTAGTTGAGTGTGGTGATGCATACCTGTCATTTTAACTCTTTTGGATGGCTGAACCACAAGGGTTGTTTGAGCCCAGGAGTTTGAGGTTGAGGATTTTGTTATGATGATGATACTATATTATAGCCCCAGAAACAGAGCAAGACCCTGAAAAAAAAGGTTAAGGTGTAGTCATCACTTGAGTGACTCTTCCACCCTACATATATCATCGTATGTCATGTCGTATTATGTCATATCATGTGATATCATGCCATATTGTATAGAGTAGCCATGAAGTTCATGTGCAATTTAAAATACTGTGCAATTTAAAGTTGCACACGAATGTTATGGCTACCTTGTTATATTACATTATTCTGTTGTCCCTAAAAATGTTTTGTGTTCTTAAGTGCTCTTGAGATCTTGGCCATATCCTCTAGCTCAAAGTGAAAGCAACTTTGAAGATAAAATATCTTAGAGAAGAGTATATTACATACTTTGTGTGTGTGACTCTTAACCTTTGAACAGCAATTTTGGGTGAGGGAAATGACTCAGAGAAAAGAAGTATAAAATGTCTAGAGTATGTTTAGCCTTTTTAACCAGTTACTTTTTTCTTTTAAGGCTTTGAGCTAACAATTGATCACCCACATACACATGTAGTAAAGTGCACTCAACTTGTTCGAGGTAAGGAATCCCAACTTGAGATGACTGTCTTAAATTGTTTTACCACTTAGAGGCTGTGGTTTTCTGTACTTAACACATCCGCTTTGGTCAAAAGTTAAATTGAAAAGCTTACTTGATTTATAGCAAAATGAGTGGTGAGATTTAATCTTTTAAGGATGTTCATCTTGGGAGAGGGGGTGATCTTATTTTAATTCTAGGGTTGATTAAAGGCCACCCAGAAGATCAACGCAGGAAGATCACTTGAGTCCAGGATTTTGAGGCACAGTTTGGGCAACATAATGAGGCCATGTTCCAACAAAAAAACTAAAAAAATAGAAAGTCTGGACGTCATTGTACATTTAAGTGCCTTTTATAGTTTTCTAGACCAAAGTGGTAATTGGTCTTATTTTACATTTCACTAATGTATGTTTCATGTAATTTTGAAAAAGGAATGTAGTTTTTTCATTGTAATATATTTTATAGGCTACTCCATTAAAAACTTTTCTTATGGGCTGGTTGCCCTTGCTCATGGCTGTAATCCTAGCATTCTGAGAGGCTGAAGTGAATGGATTGCTTGAGGTCAGGAGTTCGAGACCAGCCTGAGCAAGAGCGAGACTGCATCTCTAAAAAATAGTCCTCGTGGCCAGAGCCCGTAGTCCCAGCTACTCAGGAGGCTGAGCCAAGAGGATCACTTGAGCACAAGAATTTGAGGTTGCTGTGAGCTCTGATGTCACAGCACTCTACTGAGAGTGACCTAAAAAAAAAAAAGTGTGTGTGTATATATATAAATAATACTTTTCTTAACAGCAAAGATCACTTTTCCCAAATATATTAAAGTCTTCTGGATTCTGAGCTTGGTTTTCAGGTCATCTTAGTTAATCTAGCTTAGTGTTTTGTGGTGAATCCTTACATAAGAATCTCTGAATTACATGTTATAAGTGTCCCAAATAACTGGTGTGCAGAATGCAGCTTGAGTGCCTAGGTCTGGAAGCAGGATAATTATTAAAATTAAAAATCGTTGATCTGTCTCCTTAGGTAGAATATAAACATCAGATGGTCAGAGATGATGTTTGCCTCATTTACTACTCTATTCATAGTACCTTGCAAATATTAAACAGTTACTAAATATTTGTTGAGAATAAATGGAACTAATAACTTTTTTCCTCCCCCTCCCCCTGCCCCACTGTTTTTATTTATTTATTTTTTTTTTTAGCAAGCAAGGACTTAGCACAGACTTCGTACTTCATGGCAACCAACAGGTTTATATTTTAATTTTTATCCCCTTCTGATTTTGGGATAGGACTTTACTTGGATTGGAATTGTCATCTTTTGAGTGGTAAATACAACCACTTAGTAAACTAGAACCCAAGGACCCAGACATGGAAATGATCTTTGATACAATATATTCTAGAAAATTCTCTGGTAAATGTTGATTTTTATGCATAGTATTCATGTTGTAGTTTAAGTTTCCATGGTGCTTTTTAATTTGCTATGGTAATATAAGTAGTAATGGTTCTTTGATAGTATGCTCAACTTTGCATTTGTTAACTTTGCTTTAAAATATCCAAGAACACAGTTCTGAAAGTTAAACTTAGTGCTTGTTGATAGTAACTGAAAATCTAATTTGGAGAATTCTGCAAAAATTATATTTTAGAAGACTCCTTTTTCTTTTGGCACTCCTAAATAAATGGGTACTTAGTTTCAATACTTTTTATTTCTTCTCTTTTTTTTACAAAATAAATTACTTGTATTAGCAAATGACTGACTCTTTACAGCAGTCCCTAATTTTGTCTGTGGAAACCAAAGATACCCCTAGTAACTTCCAGGGCTATGAAGGTCCTTTTTATAACCTCTTTTGAGAATTTTTGAGATAAACCATCAGTCAAGCATATTCATACTTGAGAGGGAGATTTTTCATTATTTTAAATAGAATTAAATTAGTAAGAGACAAGATAATTTTTCTAGTTAGGGAAAAACTTGGTTTTTGGGATTACACATATCAAAAACCACATAATTTTTCTTTTACCCCAGCATCTGGGGTAATAGGTAATAAACATTGACTGGTCCAGAAGTCAATGTTTTAAAAAACTTGAATTCTTAGCCTTTTTTTTTCTTTTTTCCCTATTTTTCTTTTTCTTTTTTTTGTCTCTGGTTAATGTGTAGACTGAATGATATTAGTCAAGAACTTTAGTAATGTTGTTACCTGAACAGGTGGGTTAATAGGAAAATAGAGTGCTGTATCAGAGCACTGGATATTTCTTGCCCTTCTCACTCTCCTGTGTTTTTTAAAACTTTTTTTTTTTTAAATAATGGAGAGTTTTAGCTTTGGGTTGAGAATTGAGAGCTCATGACACTCTCTGTTTTCCTTCCCTCTGATGTCAGCCTGCATTTGACCACATTTAGCCTGCAGTACACACCTCCTGTGGTGGCCTGTGTCTGCATTCATCTGGCTTGCAAGTGGTCCAACTGGGAGATCCCAGTCTCAACTGATGGGAAGCACTGGTGGGAGTATGTTGACGCCACTGTGACCTTGGAACTTTTAGATGGTAAGTTTTAGAGTAAGGGACCTTCAAAAGCACTTGTTCTTGATCTGTCACATAACTGGCTGAAGGTGACTTGATTCAGATGAAAATAGTGAGTTAGTTGAGGTTATTTCTTACTTTATTACTTCTGTCTCTCTGAGTCTTTCTTAAATTTTCTGTTTTATTTGTAGAACTGACACATGAATTTCTACAGATTCTGGAGAAAACTCCCAATAGACTCAAACGCATTCGGAATTGGAGGGTAAGAATCATTGCTGTTTGTGAAATAAAAGCTAGTTTCTTCTCTTGACTGTACCAGTGAATATACCAGAATCGAATGTGTATCCTAGGTTGGAATTTCCTGTTTTATAGTTGTGCAGTAATTATGACTTCAACTTCATACCTAGGTGATAGCAGGATTTGATTTGCATTTTTCAACTCCTGTAATGTGTCATTTAGTTAATAGCATTTTTTGAATATTTTCTGTGTAGAGACTGTTAGGGAAAAACCATGGCTTTTCAGAGTCAGCGTATTCGTTTCTGGTAGAGGTAAGATAGAAAATTACAAGGTCAAGGCCAGGCGCGGTGGCTCACGCCTGTAATCCTAGTACTCTGGGAGCCAAGGCAGGTGGATTGCTTGGGCTCACAGGTTCAAGATTAACCTGAGCAAGAGTTAGATCCTGTCTCTAAAAATAGCTGGGCGCTGGCTCGATGCCTGTGGCTCAAGCAGCTAAGGCACCGGCCACAGACACCTGAGTGGGAGGGTTCGAATCCAGCCATGGCTCAACCAAAAAAATAGCTGGGTGCTGGGGTGGATGCCTGCACTCCCAGCTACTTGTAAGACTGAGGCAGGAGAATTGCTTAAGCCCAGGAGTTGGAAGTTGCTGTGAGCTGTGATGCCATGGCACTCTACCCAGGCGACAGCTTGAGGCTCTGTCCCCCACCCCCCCCCAAAAATAGCTGGGCGTTGTCCTGGGTGCCTGTAGTCCTAGCTACTTAGGAGGCTGAGGCAAGAGAATCTCTTGAATCCAAGAGTTTGAGGTTGCTGTAAGCTATGACGCTACGACACTCTACCGAGGATGACAAAGTAAGACTGTCTTTTTTTTGTTTTCTTTTTGTGGTTTTGGGCCGGAGCTGGATTTGAACCTGCCACTTCTGGCATATGGGGCTGGCGCCCTACTCCTTGAGCCACAGGCACTGCCCATAAGACTTAAAAGAAGAAGAAGGGTGGTACCCGCACCTCAGTGGGTAGGGTGCCGGCCACATATACCGAGGCTGGTGGATTTGAACACAGCCTGGGCCAGCTAAAACAACAATGACAACTATAACAAATAGCTAGGCATTGTGCTGGGTACTTGTAGTCCCAGCTACTTGAGAGGCTGAGGCAAGAGAATCGCTTGAGTCTAAGAGTTCGAGGTTACTGTGAGCTTGTGACACCATGACCCAGGGCAACAGCTTGAGACACTGTCTCAAAAAAATAAAAAAGGGCTTGGCGCCTGTGGCTCAAGCAGCTAAGGCATCACCCACATACACCTGAGCCTGGCGGGTTCAGCCTGGGCCCACCAAACAACGATGGCTGCAACAAAAAATAGCTGGGTGTTGTGGTGGATGCCTGTAGTCCCAGCTACTTGGGAGGTAGAGGCCGGAGA